TTATGTACATTTCTCAAAACTCCAGTATTTCTTGGAATGGATCAATAGAAACCAGGCGGTAAACTTAAGTGAAGAAAAGATTAAGGACCCCACTGAAAGGCATAGGCTATATAAACAGCAATCTGCACAAAGATTCAGTGATTTCTATTTCGTGATAACAGTCAAGAGGACATAAAGTATATCCTTAAAGGTAGGTGCGGTCACCGAGTTGTTTAGGTAAGTAAAGATCAGATCAAAAATGTAAACCACGGGTTCAGGGTATTGATAGGAGTCAGTTGTCATTAAAGTGCAAGTCTGTGGCAGTAGGACTCAACAATGTGCCATTGGGCTGCCCGGTCCTCTGACACACGTAGCTTTGCAATAGATTTAGACCCCCCCTTCACTCATAGGGAGACACTTTTCCCAGAAGCATTATAGTCATAGTTATAAGACCAAGACAGCCTTCCTCCTGGCTATTTCCCTACACTGTCAGTGATCCTTGATTTCCATGATGATTGTGATGGCAAACATACATAGCAGTCTGGCGTTGGCCATGTCCTTGGCAGCGGCGCCATTGATTCCTGTTTTGACAGAGTAGAAAACTACTGGACTCTGGCCTGAACCCTCGAGAAAAATAACACAAAAACACTGCATCAGAATTAAAGGAGGTAAGCAGAAAAAGCCTTGCACTGAGCCATCTCTTCCTCTATTATGGCAGTCAAGGTTGAGAAGAGCGTGCGTGCGTGTGTGTGTGCGTGTGTGTGTGGTAAAAGTGTGTGCATGTCGGTATGTGTGCATTTGAGTGTTACTCGTAATGGTATTAGATCATTGTCGCGCATCACCCTACAGCATTTCCACTCAAAGGAAGGCCTGCCCCAAGTGGGACGAATGGGTAAAGAGAGCAGAGGATTCTGCCTGAGAGATCACAAAAGATCTTCAGAGATCGGTCGATGGGTCACTAACAGGAGCCGGACAGACTCTATGAGATCCAGGCAAAGTCCTTCTCGCTCCCATTCTGCTGTTCCCCCTCCTGTGCCGAGGAGTCACTCTCCTCTTTCTCATTGTCCAGCGTTCCGTGCGTCTCAGCGGTCATCCCTGAGTCCTTCCACTTCCCTCTGTCTTCCTCCCCTTCTCCCAGCATCTCTCCGTCCCCTTCGACCATCATCTCCTCCTCCCCTTCTCCATCTCCATCACACTCTGCTTGGTCATCGTGGAAACGGTCGCCAGGATACAGTTCCTCCTCCGGAGAGATATCGCCACCCACCTCACCATTGTGGTCCAGGAGTGCGGCCATGCCTCTGCCAGAGCAATCAGCGCAGACGCCGTGGCGGCGGGAGCCATGCTTGATTCCAACACTGGCTGCTGACATGAAGACTCGGCTGCAGACTTTACAGACGTACTTCTTGTCTTTGCTGTGGACCTGTGGGATGGAAACACAACATTTTTGCAAAATTTTTAAAATCCAAGTGGAAGAGCAAAAGCCTGCAACTTCACAGCTGAAACTGAATGTGAATCCATTCAAATTACAACTGCAGCAATATGCTAGTGACAGAATAAATAAAGAGGAAGAGGAATACAATTTATTTGCTGGCAACAGGTGACTGCCAGGGGGTCATTGACCAGTCTGCAGACCTGTGTGCATGGGGCTTTAGCAATTTTCATTTGCCATCAACCTCCAGCAACCACTAATAACAAGTCAGGAAATACAAATATTTTCACTCACGATCGGTGATTATGAGATGGTTTTGGACCACTCTTTAGGTCTCTGTGACTGGGGCCTTGTTTACTTAAATTGTGAGCTAGATTGTGACCATGATTGTAACATTTCCGGCAGACAAGCTAACATCATATGATGGATGGTCAAATGTCTGTAAAACCTCAAGAGAGATCTAGGGCCTCCTAATTTGACCTCTGTAAACACTTTCCCACAGAGTTTATACACTCACTGTGTCACTCGTTTTGGGTCACACTGAATAAAAAATTCTGCTTATTTTGTAAATCTTGCTCATACTGTGTTTCGAAATTGAGTATTTTCTGTGATCTGAAGACACACAATAAATTGCTAAGAACAAGAGAGTGGTTTTAAAGTCTGCGGTAAACCTCACATCACATCCAGTATTTTGCAACAAGATGGCGATGGTAGAAACGTTAATCCCAAGGCTTCAAAAGGGGCACTTCAGAACCCAGTGGTAGCTATGTCCATCTTTTATACTGTCTAAGATTGCTTTGAACTAAGTAGCTGGTGTCTGTGAATGCACTATAGCATCTAAATAAGCTGGCCTTTTGTCCAAATCACTTATGGCTCCCCCCCCCTAAAAAACCAAGATGGTAATAGCATTGATGTTAAATCAAAGCTTCTACACAGGAATTAACAAACGAGTCGGTAATGTATATATAATGTTTTGTCTGTCTCTTATATATAACATCTTTAAATCTTCACTTTGAGTAAGGTGTAATTTGCTACCTCCTACATGTAAATGAAGGCCTGCACTCACCAGTGTGTGCCTCTTCATGTGCTCCCTTCTGGTGAACTTCTTGCCACAGATTTCACAGGGGTAGGGCCTCTCACCAGTATGGGAGCGCATGTGCCTCTTTAGGATGCACTGGTGCATAGCAGAGAAACTGCAGTAGGGGCACTTGAACTTTTTGCGGATCACCGTGAAGTCATTCACTGAAAGGAGAGAGGAGGGGAGGGAGGATAGAGAGAAAGAAGGGGGAGAGAAAAAAAGAATTGAAGGTTGAGTGAAGCTTGTTTAAATAAACCAACATGTCACTTTTTAGTTACTGCATTTAATTAGCGGCATGGTCTAGAAATGTACCATCAATTCCCATGGTCACCCCAATCCCCGTCAAAGCTACGGTTGCCCTGGCAACAGCTCTTCCTCTATACTAAAGTAATAAAGGCAAAGAGATACTATAAACACATAACACAACAGCCAGTCTGCCTTAGTTGCACTAGAGGGTCTCTACTATGGACAGCGAAAAACACAGACAGAAAGACAAACACAGACAATGACAAGGTAATAAAATCACCCACACAAAGAAGGAATATTGAGTCACACAAGGGGAGGCAAAATACAACAAATATTAATACCATGTCTTAGTGTTGTGTCGGGGTCTGGTGAATCTTTTATTTAAAGTCTAGATTTAAGTGGTAGCTTAGGTAAAAGACATCGAAGTAAACTGTTTCTCTGTGTTTGTCTGTTTCTAGCCACTGACACAAAGCATATGACTCGGGGAGACTGGAATTGGATTTACGAATACAAAAACACAACAAGCACTAATCACGTATAGTTGGGAGTCAAACATACGGTAGGGGTTACAAGCTTTTACAATATATTTACCTCCATCTGCAAATCGACTTCTGCTCTGATTAAATATTCAAGAAGCACATCACAAAAAAAGCATGCAAATACACATGAACTGCACAACAGTTTTTTTTTCCTTTGGTTAAAGTGCAAAAGTAATGAGAGAAATATTGCAGTGTGTGTATGTGTGCACATGTGTACATAACACGGATAGCTTCATTGAAGAATAAAAACGGCAGCAACGTTTAAAAATTTCCATCATAGTTTAATTACAGCATAAAATCTACAAGTAGAATCTTGTTTGAAAAGTACAGCTTTTGTACAACACAGGGATGTCAATGAGAAAATCTAGAATATAGAACAAAATATCTTTCAGTATTTTTCATTTCTACTCAGTGACTGGCTCTGACTATTTCCTGACTTCTGCGAGCCTGCTGCTCTGTCCCGGCTGCTGGCTAGGACAGGGCGTGCTACCTGAAAATGTGGGATTCTGTGGTAGAAAGGATTTGGCATTTAGGAATTCCCTATGTATATACACAGGATATGCACACAACAGGAAGCGGACAGATTCCCAATTGACACCAGTTCTGCTATTCTAAGCACAAAGAAGTTGCAGCTCAGTGTGCTCAAGTGATAATTAGAAGTAAACACAGGTGAATAGCTTCTCTTTGGGCATAGTAATCACAGTATGCGTATACACAATAAACCTATTTACTGTAATTGGGTTTTATCAAGACAGTATCTTGTTGCATGTTAAAGGCCTGCTGTAAACGAAAGAGCGAAAATTTTGGCAGAAATTGGTGTGAATTTACATTAGCAATGGGTTTCAAGCCAGTGTTCAAGCTGATTCCAATAATCCTGCTTCTGCCCATCGACATCCTCCACCACCTCTCTTATTATTCTCCTGCATTTGCCTACTTGTCTCTCTTGATCTCTCATTTTCTACCCCGTGCTCACAACCACACCATTATCTATCTGCAGCCGTGACATCACTAAGATCATCCAGAATCTGCCCTTCATTGCCCACTTCCTCTTCAGATGAGGGGTCAGAGGTTAAGAGGGGCCGGAGCCGTGAAGGACCAATTACTGTCCAGCTCCAACCACACTCAGCCGTTGCAAGAATTACAGATCTGGGACAGAAGAGATGGACAGAGAAAGAGAAAATGACACCACCCAACCCCCCCTTCCTAGCTGCTACTGATCTATTGTTTTAGCTGGCTTTGTCTCGTTCAGCACATCCCCTCATCTGTACCGATATGACAGTCTTTGACTGAAAGCTGTCATGTCGCACTGAGTTCAAGATACTGTGCTCAATAGCGGTGGATTTTGGGGTCAAATTCTCAAATCGAATGTTTTTGTTCTGTGTTTCAGTTCTTTTATGACAGTTCCTTCTATCAGCTGAGGCGTACTGCCCCTGGCATCAGTCATATTCTCGCCTGGGTTTTTATTCTGTCCTTATGATGCAATGCTACAAAATTCCTGCAGGTGGTGTGGTTGTGTGGGCTGTGACTCAGAGTAATGCCTGGCAGATATCTTTGAATGTCTTTGTGCCCCTAATGCAGGGGTGGACAGAAAGATAAAGATCTCTCTGCCTAAAAAGGAGAGAAGAGTTTAGTCAGACTGGTGGCTGGCGACAGAGAGTGAGACAAGTGGTTAAGGTCGGGGAGGTGGAAACCCCCATCCCCCCCCCAAATCTCTCAACCCGGCACTGCAGTGGAAAGTAATTCACCTGTTCATGGGTACACTCAGTGCTCACTAAAACTATTCGCTCAGTCTAAAAAGACCACATATATTTTCAGTCAAAGGTTTGTTTTAAACGTATCTCTCTTT